TTATTGAAAGAAATAAAAGCAGAAGACACTGATTTGAAAATGTGAGCTGCTAAAAGTATTCCGAAACTTGACCACTCCAATGCAAGTAGAAGCGAAACTAGAGAAAATAAAAACATAATAGGAGATATTTTTAAAAGCTGACAATGCTAATAGCTTGGGGATGTTGGCTGAGCAAAAACTTCAGGCTTTGACTTGAGAGAGAATGATATTTCAAGCAACAAGCTGCTTCCCCTCTCGTTACACATGGCAATGAGCATTTCAGATGTTTCAGATTATTTTCTCCTGGTAGCTGTAGTCTGGGGTTAGGGACCCAGCCCACAGCAACCAGCCCCTCTGCTCCCTCCACTTCCAGAAGGCTTCCCAGACCTCTGCCTTTACCACCTTGCACCCATCACTTAACTGGCTTTATAAGCTGTTTTTTCTCCTGCTGCAGCTGCACGCAGTGAGATTTTTTGGAAACTGCAATGGAAGCAAAAAGCAACTGCTTTCTTTTTAATGAAGAGAGGGAGAAGACAGCAGCCCTTCTCCGATGTCTCCTTTTGCTCAGAGCTTAGTCTCTGCTCTCTCGAATCACCGCATGTCTCTGACACCAGGCTTTCCCCTCCACACATGTTTATGTTTGCATTTAATACTGCAGCAAAGCACCAGCCCGTCTGCTCCAGGCTGAAGCCTTACTGGGTCGGTGGAGGACACTGGAAGGAGCAGCTTCTTCTGGGTTTGATCTCAACCAAATGACAGTTTTGACCTTCCTCCAAACCACAGGACAGTGGACAAATTTCTGACTTACTAACATGTAAAAAATTGTTCTGAACACCTGAGATGCCTGTCAGGATGTAATTTGCTCCTACCCACCACCTGCACCCCTCTCTACTCATCCAAAACTACCACCCCCACCTAAATTCTCACTCCTTGAGTGAGATATCTAGCAGGTGTCTCTTCATTTTTTTTTGCAGCTGATCAGCTTTACCTGCTCTCTATAAAGGGCCGCAGTGAGCCAGCAGCAGTGATATGATCACCCTGAGGAGGTTGGGGTGGTTGTGTTCATGGGCTAGATGAGCTGCTGCAGGAAACAAAGCTATTCTCATCTGGGTTTTAGGAAAAAGCCTTGGGCTTCTGCTCTGCCAGGGCAATCAGGGTCAGGGTGGGCTGGTGCAAGGATGGGAAGCATAGGGGATGAGGGGTCTCTGTGCTCGCCGGCTGTGGACTGCTTCCCGTGCTTCAGGATGCAACCTCTGACGGTAGATGTCCTCCCAGGTGGGTTTGATGCTTTGCTCTCTATTTGCATCAGATTTTTGTTTTTTTTTTTTTTTTGAAAAATGCTGCAAGCTTCAGCCCCCTGCTGTTTTCTTCCAGCTTTGCATGTAGTTATTCCCTAAAATCTAGAGGGTTGTTTGTCTGTGGGCTCCAGCTTGTTCAGAGCCACAGATGGTTGGCTGGGGTTCCTGCTCTGGTTTGCTGTGTCCCTGGGGTGTAGGTGACAGGATATGCAAGAGAAAACTGGACAAGCTAGGAGTTCTACAGAGGATAGTTGAGAAAGCTTCCCTAGGTGAAGAAGTCCTCTAAAATCTTTCCTAACCTCTTCCTGGACTATGCTGTGTGCTGTAGTACCTCAATGGGAACAAAAGTAGGGCTTAGTGCCTGCCTGGAGCGATCTCTCAGATCTGTAGCGGAGGAAAGCTTGAGCTTTTTTTTTTTTTTTTCCTCAGTAAAAACATGTGTTTGCAGGAGTTCCCCTTCCCACCTCCCCTCTGCTCCTTCTCTGAGCTGAAACTGGGGCATCTTCCCCTTATGCTGTGTGCAGGCCCTGTGCTGGGCGAAAGCTGTGGGTTGCCTTAGGTGCTCCTCTCTCAACCCTGCCCCTCCAAACCCTGTGCTTCTTCCAAAACATTGCCTGCTGTCCCAGTGACAGCCTGCCAGGCCTCCTTACCTCTCCATGCTGGCAAGCAGCCCTTCCCAGAGCGGGAGAGGCTGAGGCACTTGCTCAGAGGGGTTTGCAATCTAGGTTAGGTAGGAAATGATGCCGGGAGCAGTGACATCAGGGAAGAGGGTGGGAGGCAGCTTGCAGATGACGAGTCTATGAGGTTGCCTCTCTGTGCAAGGTACGCGTTGCATTAGTAATGTGTTTGTAGCAAATAACGCTGGGCTAGCATGGGAATGTGGGTCACTGCTGGCAGAACCGTGGAAGGAAGAGGGAGCTGCTCGTGCTGTGCTGGGAAGAAAACGTATGTTACTGAGGGATGTTTGGTGGGGGGAGATTTAGCTGCAGTAACTGCTCCAACTTGTAAGTAGCAGCTTTATGTTGTGTGAGCGGGTGCCTGCTGCCTGGGGGATGCCTCCAGCCCAGGTGTTGGAGTGAACTGGTCTTTGACGGGGGTGTGGGGTGCAGTGGTTTGTATTCCTGGTGTGTAATAGTCGCATCATATCAGGGAACTCCTAGACTTGCTTGCTGATGCTCTCTGTGGCCCTGGCCATGCCTGGAGCATTCCTCCTGCCCCAGCAGGCACAAGAAGGGATGCAGCCGGGCATGAATAACCAAGGATTCCAGCGTATTTTCGTGACCTATTTCTGATTCTGTTGTTCAGTGTGTGTGTGCTCAGGAAATCTTTGTGCTTTAGGGGGAGTAAGGTTTGTTAGTGATAAGCAAAATCCTGTTTGACCACTTGGGAGATTTAAACCAGAAACTAACCTGGCTTTGAAGGAGGATTCAGGATGGAGAAGGTGGCTCTGAGCCTGAATAGAAAGTGATACAGGATGGGGATGTACATATTCCCAAAATGTCCATGGTACTTCAGTGCGGAAAGAGACTCTTGCCTTAGAGCAAGTACATTTAATGAAATAGCTTTGTTGGAAAACGCTGCCCTTGGTCAGCAGGGACTTGTTGAGTAGCTTCACTTCCAGCAAAGAAGCAGTGGAGCAGAATGGGGCTGGTGGAGGGAAGCATGAGTAGGCTGCCAGGTTGTGGCCCCTGGAAGAGCTGTGCAGCCTTTGCTCAGCAGCGATGCTCCTGCATAGGTGCAGGCTGTGGAGACCTTGCTAAAGCAGCCTTGTCCAAGCCCCTCAGAGCAAGTCGGCAACCTTTCCTGCATCCTGTGCTGCCAGGAAAAACCTCCAAGGCAGATGGATGTGTTTCTGGAGCTTGCCCACAGGCTCCCCAAGATGCCCAAGCTGTGAAGTGTCCACCTGTGTCTGAGTCATTATTTTCCTTCTGAGTCTAGGATCAGAACAGTGGCAGTAAGCTGACCCTGGGGCCAAACACAAGCTTGTGGGGGTTCAGACATGGAGGTAAAGGCCACGTCACCTGATGGAGCGGGACCGAGGTGTTAAACTGTGCAGGCTTGGTTGGGTTGCTCTGGTGAGAGGCTCCTGGGCACGGCATGGGAGCCCTCCTCTACCTACTGCTGCCATCTGTAATTTGGGGCTTGTTCCACACACACATCCCTTGTGCTGACCTCCTCCCCGGCACTGAGCTTTGCGTGAGCATTGCCTGCTTGGAGACAGCAGGGCTGACGTCCCTCTGCTGTGACCGTGGTATCTGGCCAGCCTGTCTAGCAGCCTGTGGGACACATGCAGCCCCAAGGCAGGCGTTGGATGACCTTCAGTAGACCTTGGTGAGACAGGGAGAGCCAGGCTGTCAGGGAAATAAGGACTATGCCCAGTGGGAGGAGATGGGGATTGATCTGTCTGGGTGCTGCCTGCATGTTGCACCTGCTGCAGGGCAACCTATTGAACAAGGTCAGGGTCTCAGACCAGCCTGGTGTTGTAAGCTCACTCACCAAATGGTTTGTGGATTTTTATTTAAATTATTGGTTTCCTTTTCTTATCCATTCAGAAACTCTAAAACCACAGGCTGTTTTTGGCTCCTCATCAGATCTGCACCCAGACCCCAGAACTGCTGGCGGTGCCCAGTTCAGTGGTTCTCTGGAGTGTGCATGTCCCTCCATCTGGCAGATCCTATGACCCATGCAGGAAGGGCTCTGTAAATTGGCTTGTGTTTACCTCAAAACTTGTTGTTCTACAAACTCCTTGCCTGGGGAGATGGGCTCTGGCAGTTGGTGCTGCCAGTTCCTTGGTCTCTCGAAGAGCTAGTCCAGGATGACAACTTGCTTGTGTCTACAAAGGCCCCTTTTTTTTGGGGCGGGGGGAAGGTGTGTGTGTCAGGGGGGAAGCGCATTTTTCTGTATATGTTTTATTCTTTCTTTCCCTCCAGTGGCAAATTTAGGACAGAGCCAGGGAGTAAAACTGAGTCTTGAAATACTTTTATTATCTATTCCTAAGCAAAACAAGGAACTCCTCTGTACAGGTTGCACTTCCCAGGCTTTTCTCTTGCTCAGCCTGTGCAGCAGGGAGCAGGCTCGGGACTTTGCCTCTCTGCAGAGGGAGAGGTGATGATGATGATGGGTGGTGGCAGCCGCCTGCACGGGTGAGTAGCAGGGACGCTTCATGGTGGGAATCCCAGCTTCTGGCACTGGCTGTGTGTCCTTGGGCAAGTCACTTACTTGCTGTGGTGTGTGTGTGTCCTGGCTTACCTCCTGCAGGGCCCTGAAAGGTTTCATTCATGTCCCCAATTACTTGCGGAGTCCTGAATGAAAGGGGCAGAGGATGTGCCAAGTGCATGACGTATCCCAGTACAACATCATCCTTGTGAGCACTCTCCTTGTCCCTCCTGGGGACCCAGGGGTGGCTCAGAAGGCTTGACAGTGGTGCTTTACCCTGAATACCCTCTGCCATGGGAGAGTGTGTGTTTTGTGGCACTCATCCCCATCCTGTGCGCTACTGAGGGCTCCTGGCAGGGCTGGGAGAGGAGCTGTCCTGGTTCCTACAATTTCGTGGTTATTTTGGTACGTGGGTAGAAGGGGGAGGAGGGTGGCTGTGGAGAGAAGAGCAAGGTCAGTGAAGAACAAACGTGCCTCTGTGCAGTTGTGATCACGCTGCCAGCTAATCGGCTTCGGTGCTCCAACTTTCCTCGCAGAACTCATCAAGCACAGCCGTGACAGGATAGGACAAACCATCAAGGCCTCCGGCTCCAGGCTCTGCTCATAGTGAGTATGAGAGCCCTTTAAAAGCTCAGCCTGGTATCCCCTGGGCTGGCTCGGCGGTGAATGGAGCTGGCTGGCACCGGCCAGATGTGGGCAGTCCCTGGGGACAGCCGCCAGCACCCGCTGCCACCCAGCATCTCCTGCCATGGTCAGCCGGGCTGCAGAGGAGGGGGGCTCTGGGATGGTGGTGGGTCTGTGCCTGGAGGTGCATGGGGGCGGAGAGGGGGAGCACCCACAGGTGAGACGAGGGGAGGCTGGTGGGATCTTCGGGCCCCCTTTTGGAAGGGGCAGGGTGGAGGGTGGCTGGGGGGGGATGAGAGCCTTCAGAGCCTCCCTGCAGTGTATGAGAGCTTGGTGGGGGTGAGGGGGAATGGAGAAAGCTCTCTGGGGCAGGGGAGAAAGGAACAGAGCTGGGGTTTTTGTGGTGTGGTTTTTTGTTGTTGTTGTTTTTCCCCCTTTGTGTCGTCATCCTGGCTTTTGCAAGGAGCCTGGGGGAACCCTTAAAGCCAAAGGGAGGAATCTCTGGGGTGGCAGGATCCATCCGTCCCCAGTGATGATTGAGCAGGGCAGATCTAAACCAATAAGTGTTGTTCAAGTTCAACTTCTCCAGCTGCACTGCGTAGATGAGAGCCCTGGGCTTTAATGCCTCTGCTCACTGAGCCTGACCTGGCTGCCATGGCCAGCCCCTCCTCCATGCAATGTCAACAGCTCCAAACTGCCCTGGTCTGCCCTGGCCTGGGGGAATGGCCTCTACGTGCTGCCAGCCCGGGTGACATGTAGTGGTTGGACACAGCAGGACACTTGTTGGGTGGCAGGGCTGGGTCCTGCAGCATCCCTGTGCAGAGGGATGGGGGCTGCATCTGCCTCGGGAGGGGTCTGGCCATGGCCAGGAGGGCTGCAACCTCATCGGGCCCTGATGCTGTGTTGCTGCTGGGGCTGTGCTGGTGCCCTGACCAGTTTCTGCTGTTGCAAACCAAGGACTAACTGTGGCATTTAATATGCTTGTGCTTGTTCAAGTCACTTGTGCACTCAGGAATGGTGGGTTTTTTTCCCCTGCCTCTTCTGTCAACATGCCTCTCCCTCTGCACCCTGCCTCCCCCAGAGCGTGCACACCCCCACCCCTTGGGAGCAGCAGTGCTACCGAGGGGGTAGCTGGGGAGCTCAGCTAAGATGGGGGAGCATGCACTGGGGTCTGTGCTGGTCCCTGGCGAGTTAATGGAGTAAAGCTGTTTCTCTTGGATTCTGTTTTCAATACTGGCTTGCTCTCTTTCCCAAGTGCTGAACGAGTTGCTTTTTTAATGGACCGTTCCCGGAGCCCGGACAAAAGCACCCAGGTGAGATCATGGCTCTGAGCCAGCAAGCCCTCACCTTTGGGATGAAGAGAAGGGCTGGTGTCTGTAGGAGAAAAGCAAGGAGGAGAGCCTGTGTTAGCCTGCTAGGAGTCTTACTGCTGCCTTGTCCCTGTGGGTGATGTTGGGTGGAGAACAAGGAGAGCAGAGATCCTATATAGCCTTTTGGACAAGGCATGATGTGCCCAGAGTCTGGGGAGGGAAAGATTCCTGGTGAGCAGGAAGAGGAGGAAGACTGTGTGTGTACGTACCCCCTTCTCAGTGGGAAGAGGGAGGCTGCACCTCTGTGGTGCTGGGTGAGCATAAGGCCACTTCCAAGGCTCAAGACTTGGCAGTTTTGGGGCTGAATGGGAGCAGGCAGAGGGCTGTAGGGTTTGGGAGGGATGCTGATGTCCTGCTGCAGGAGTGCTCCTCTGTGTCAGAGCTGTGTACGCAGCTCCTTGCCTAGCACAGGCAGTGGGGAGCGCCTCGTTGTCTCAGTGCTGTGGTGAGCAACTAAGCCATGCAGTGCCTTTCCTCTGTGGCAGCACAGCAGGTCTTGAAAGCCTCAAGTCAAGAGCCAAGCAGTTGCTTAGTACTCTTTCTTTGTGCAAGTATGGGATGAGGACTTTGGCACAGACTCTAGGTTAGTACAGCCTCCAGCTTGGGGATGATATTGCTTTAGTGCATAGCTCTGTTATCACTTTCCCTAGCACTCAGAAATTTGCCAAAGCATCCACTGTGTCTCTTGCTGATGGGTGTTTATCAATGTCTCTGAGCAAGCAATGCTGTATGGAGGAAATGAAAGCACAACTTGCAGCATGGTCCTTGTGACTAATATTATTGTTATCCTCTCCAGCCTCCAACACCAACTGACAACATCAACCTTGGACCTTCTGCTAACCCAAAGTAAGCTCCCTGCAAAAGCCAGGTAGGGTGCGGAGCATGCAGCAAAGAGATCTGGCAGGGGAATGCAGTTTGTCCCTGTGTCTCACATGGGCAGTATCTGCAAAAGTCCTAACAATTGCATTACTTGGCCTTTAATGCCACGTGCATCACCAATGCACATGCTTTCAAGGCATTCAGCTATAGCTGGTTCCTGTTATCATCCTCTCCTGTCTGTGTCTGCAGCCCCTTGTCCCCTCTCTCTTAAGAGGTAGCAAGGGAAGTTCTTCCTCATCACTACTGGCTCCCTGACTATCTTTCTCTAGAAACAGTGGTAAACTGTCCCCTGTGAAGGTGCCACTTGGTCCTGATGGGTGCCTTCA